ATCATTCTATCATTTTTGAGATTATATCCCATTACGGCTTTTCCCACTCTTTTGTTGACTATGAGGGCTACTCCATTCCTTCTACGGGATTCTTGCCCACAATAGTAGACATGATAATCATCTGAGTTGAAATCACCCATTCCCATCCATTTTAGTTCACTGATGCCCAGAATGTCGATGTTTATTCTTGCCATCTCCTGTTTGACCACCTCCAGCTTCCCAAGGTTCATAGATCTTACATTCCAGGTTCCTATGCAGTATTTTTCTTTCCAGCATCGGACTTTCCTTTCACTTCCAGGCACGTCCACAGCTGAGCGTCCTTTCGGCTTTGGCCCATCCACTTCATCAGCTCTGGAGCTACTTGTACTTGTCCTCCGCTCTTCCTCAGTAGCATGTTGGACACCTTTTGACCTGAGGGTCCCATCTTCCAGCGTCATATCTTTTAGCCTTTTGTTTCTGATCATGGGGCATTCTTGGCAAAGATACTGGAGTGGAATTCCCGGTTCCTACCCCAGGTGGATTGCGTTTAGTCAGAACTCCCCACTATGACCTGTCCGTCTTGGGTGGCCCTGCACGGCATAGCCCATAGCTTCTCTGAGTTACTCAAGCCCCCTCGCCACGACAAGGCAGCAATCCATGAAGGGGTTTCTCTCTTGGAAAATGTAGTCATACAACATAGCATATATACATATATCTGTTTGTGTGTATATATATCTGTGTGTTTATATGGGAAAGATTGTCATGTTGCAGTTACGTGATGGAGCATTCTAACCTATAAGAATCTTTCTGACATGAACTAATAGAAGCTAGGAAGCTTAATGTGAGATAGATATATAATGCAAGTGGGATTTGGTTATATGTTGGTCAATTAGGTTGTTAGTTGTCTGTTAGATAGCCTGGAAGTTATGTTAGTTAGAGATACATATCAAGAGTAACTATGTTTGTAAAGTTTAAAGATAATGCCATATTCTTCTGTGTATAAGACTATACTTTTGTCTAAAACCTTTAGACTAAAAATTGAGGGTTGTCTTATACATGGAAGTAAGCTGAGGAGAGAACAAAAACAAGTGGAGGGGAAAGAGGGATCAAAGCGATTCTGCAGCACTTTTATCCCTTTCCCCCTACACTTGCTAAGCCCCACTTAGATTTCTTAATTTTGGATTAGAAAAGTGGGAGGGCGTCTTATACATAGGGACATCTTATACACAGAAAAATACAGTACTAATATAAGTTTAAAGATACTATACCAATATAAACAAGTCAAGCACAAGTCTACATATAAAGTACCTGCCTAAAGATGACTCTTAAGACTCATAGAAACTAGCACTGCAGATTTCTCTTCACAGAGGTTAATAGGCCATTTTGGTGACTTCATACCACTAACCTTAATTAATTTTCATCCCTGGTAATCTTGTTTCATCTCTTATCAGGGCAATAGGTAGTTTCCTCAATAGAGCTCCTTCCCCACAGCAAAATTAGCATACCTTTAGACGGGAAGGGACTCATTCTGGGATTACACACATCAAAGAACGCTTTGGTCCACTTTGTAATATAATACAGTATTCTACTCATACAAGATAAAGCAGGAATGTCCAATCCTTTTTCCAGTTTCTCCTTTGAAATGTTTGAAGGGGAAAAGCAAATGTGAGAATTAAAGGTGAAAATAAAATTAAACAAAAAGACAAAAAGTGGGTGGCACCTTAGAGACAAACTTTTATGGTTTTTAATGTGAGTTTTTGTGGACACTTCATCAGACATAAGCACAAAAGTGAGAAATTTCTCTTCACACATTGACGCTTCTGGTTGTCCTTACAATTCGCATCAGTCTGTAGGGTTAATCACTGGTGAAAGCAATATTTTCCCGATTCCATGTTTTTCCAAATACTCCATTTCTCCACACCTTCTCCCACCCCGTTTTAGGGCACGATGATGATGCAGATGATGCGCCAGCAAGTAAGTTCTGATATGGTGACCCCTTTCAGAGGTTTCCAGGTAAAGAATACTTAAAAGTGATTTACCATTCCCTTCTTCTGAGGACACCCTGAGATTGTGTGGCTTGTCAATTTGAATGAAATAATAATGACCCCTCCTGCTTCCACGTTATACCCTTTGCTGATGGAAGGAACCCAGGATTTCATTGTCCTTTTAACCTTGGCAGAGGAGTGGAGCTTAGTGGATGGGAGATGAATGAATGGAGAATGGGAGGTGAGAGGGAAGGAGATGAGGCAGGACTCAAGGGTTTTGTCTGCAGCCCTGGAAGGAGATTGCTTGTTCTTCCGCTCTAGCTGTTCTCTGTCTCTGGAGTGTGAAGGCCGTGCTAACGAGGCATGAAGGGAATTTTGACAGGAGAAATGGTCATGAATATGATAGACACCTCGCTGTACGACAGTCCCAGTTTCTCCTAGCTGAAGAGTGCCACCCCCTTTTAGGACCACAGTTAAGTCATTAGTATGACTTCCTTTGCTGCAAAGGGATGGTAGGAACAGGGGCCTGTTTGCAAGCTTGCTTGCTTATGGGGTGCTAGACTATAAGATGTCGAAAAAAAAGAGAAGGAAGCATGCAACCAATTCTCTGAAACAAACCAAAAAAAGTGATTTAAAATCTTCAATTATCTTCAGGTACTACACATGGGAAAGGGCTTGAGTCAAAGTAAAGGCTGCTGATCCCTGCAGATGGCATTTGGAATGAAGCATTTAGATTTTACACATAGACCTGCACAGTCACACACAAAAAAAAACTTGTTTAAACAAACAAACAAATGACAAGCTCAGATTTGGCAACAACAAGAATGAAAGGAGTTCTCTGAAGAATAGCAGAAGATAAATCCAAACAACCAAGAGGAAGTAATAAAATGTCTTTGGAAAATTACACCAGAAATTAATTTCCCCCCTTTTTGGTTTCTCCTAGGATGCCGTTTGGCTGCATTGGACTGCGGAATGAAAAGAACTACAACAGCCTGTCTGATATCACCGACAAGTATGAGATTGGGCAGCTGTTACGAGCGTAAGTAGGCAGCTCTCTTTTAACCCCTCCTGGAAGGAACGTTACTTGCACTCGGGGTGGTGGTGGTGATCATCCTCACTCCAGCCTAGCCCTGGCCAGCCAGTCTGCCATGCCACCAGATGGAAGGAAGAGTACTGGAGATAACAAAATGGTCATACAGGCCGGGAAGAAATGAACCGTTTCCTCTTGACTGCTGAAAAAGACAATCAACAGCCCCTTCAGGATGGTTATATGTGACAAATGTTCCAGGCCAAGACTTTTTGCTGCCTGAGGCATAGCAGCAAATGGTCTACATGTGGCAGAAAATTCCACTAGCACTTTTCCTCATCACTGACAGTAAAAGTATAATAGCATAATAAACTGTTAAAAATTAACTGCCTTTTCAAGATACCTGGTGCCTCAGGGGGTCATCTCACTCTGCCCAGTAGCAGAACTGGCCTTAGATATCAAGCCCCTTTGGTATATCCCATAGAACAGTGTTCCCCAACCTTGGGCCTTGGCAGTAAAAGTATAATAGCATAGTAAACTGTTAAAAATTCACTGCCTTTTCAAGATACCTGGTGACTCAGGGGGGCCTTTTCACTCTGCCCAGTAGCAGAGCTGGCCTTAGATATCAAGCCTCTTTGGTATATCTCATAGAACACAGTCATTTTCAAGGTCTACCATCTTATCTTTATTTATTTATACATCGAATGTATAATCCACTTTTCCTCACAGTGATGTAAGTGGCTCTGTCCCATCCCTCCATGTCAAGCACGTAAACATGATTTATTCTCAAGCCAACTCTCTTGAGGTAAGTTAGGCTGAGAGAACTGGTGACTAAACAAGGGCAACCAATGAACGTTCATGAGTTGGTGAGGATCCCAGGTGTCCTGAGCTAGGTTCTCCTGGATGGCATTCTAACTTACTTTTCATATACAAAAACCTAAGGCATGAAGGGCAGGTCTGCCAAGGCCAGATATTAAGGTACTGTATTAGTCTTGATAGCTAAAAGACAGGTCTAAATTATGGAGGTAGTACACTTCTAAACTAGAGGATAATGATGCAGTGGGACCGGGCTCAAGGCTTGGGGATTTTCTTGAGGAGAAAAGCTTGCTGGGACAGTTGGCCTTAGGTCTGACCTTCCAGCAGGGTAGTCCACAAAGCAAATGTATGTTTCTTTTTGTCCTCTGCTGTCCTGTAGGAAGGAGTTCTGTGAGATCTGTGTAGCCCGTGAACGCCAGACAGAAAGGTTGTTCATCTGCAAAAAGTTTCTCAAGAAAGATGGGCGCAAGGTCCGAAGGGCAGCAAAGAATGAAATCCTCATCCTGAAGATGTGAGTGTCCATCAGTTTGCTCTCTCTCTCTCTCTCTCTCTGTGTGTGTGTGTGTGTGTGTGTGTGTAGAGATGGAGCTGACACCTATCACCTTTTAATATATGTTGGGGGTCCAGCAGCTCCCACAGACATTGATATTTGCTCCAGGGCCTGTGAAAACTACAGTTTTAAAGTCACTTCAGATCCCCTGTTATGACATTGAGGCACTGTGGGAGGGTGATTTTTTATTGTTATTTTTTAAAATGGCTGCTCAGATAGCTTTTTTTCTGCCCCAAGCCTGGAATTGGCCTCCACTTGTATGGTAAGGGCTTGCCAAATGGCTTACTGCCAAGGATCCTCTCCTCAGTCTTAGAGCCAAAATGAGAGTACATTTATGCACCGGTGACCTTCTGGGGTACACATGACCCCCATGAGTGTCCACTCGCAATTATCTGTATGGAAATGTGTGTGTTCCTCCGTCTTGCTGAGGAAGCAAGCTGAGCTTCTGTAAACAACAACATTCCCTGTAGCTTCTTCTCAGTAACTGCCAAATTGATAGGATGTATAATGAGTACATGGTTACCAAGTCATAGTTAAGCTCCCAGCTAAATGTTTAGGAATAGAAGGAAAAGGCTGGAAAGGGGGAGGGGAACATTTCACAAAGGCAATATGTCTCAAGGTAGTAAAGTTGCGATCTATGTGTTTTGTGCCAGGGCTTCTATGCTTTTAGTACAGAAGGCAAAAATTCGTTAAATAAAGTTCTAATTTTAATTGAAACCATGTGTTGGAAATATCCTCTCTTGTTCAAAGCAGCTACTGGAATGAAAAAAATATGGCACCCTTCTGGGCCAGGCCAAGTTATTTTGCTGCCCTAAAGAACATCCTACCCTTATTTCATATACGGAAAAAAAATTATTTGGAGTTTGGAAGGGGACAGTGTTTTAATTTGCATTAAAGTGCAAATTTTGGATATCTGCTTAAAAACAGACCAAACCCTAAAAACCTTTAAAGTAAAGATTATGCAACAAAGCTAGATCAGACACTATTTTCTTTAGCTTTGGCATGCAGTGGCTTCATACTTAAGAGCTGGCTCTAGCACCTCTTATAGCATGCCACAGCCTTATATATATAGATTGGGGCTGAGATTTGCAGTGGCCTATGCCAGGACGTTCTCTCACCCAATCAGGTTCTGAGATATATTTGCAACAGTACCCTCCTCAAACAAAACAATATGAAGGTTTTCTCATCTTTTCAGCTTAGGATGAGATACAGTACAGTATACTGTATAGTTCTGTGAGAGGTGCGCCCAACTCAACCCCAAAAGGACTATAATTTTAAGGGAAAGATTGTGCAAGGAGAAGAGAGTTTCACGACTATTTCTCCTCATACCTTCTCACAGACTTACCAGCTTAAAGCTGCTTTCATCCCTGATGGAGAAAAGAGATAAGCATTCACTTGCCAGGGGTGCCAATAGATGAGATTCAGATGTTTTTGGACTGTGACTGCCACCCTCTTCAGGCAACATACTCAATAATGAGAAATGATAGGACTGCCGCCTGCCCTTTGGCAGCTGTTATTGCCCATCAGTTCTCTTCTCTTCTCTTCTCTTCTCTTCTCTTCTCTTCTCTTCTCTTCTCTTCTCTTCTCTTCTCTTCTCTCTCTCTCTCTCTCTCTCTCTCTCTCTCTCTCTCTATCTATCTATCTATCTATCTATCTATCTATCTATCTATCTATCTATCTATCTATCTATCTATCTATCTATCTATCTATCTATCTATCGTCTTTTCATGATGTAAGTCACCTCGGGTCCTTTTAAGGAGAAAGGCGAAATAAAAATATTTTAAATAAATCAATAAATGTTTAATCTGCTGCTTTTTTTCCTCACAAAGAGACTCAAGGCTATTCACAGTCAGTTTGAATAGCACAATAATCAGTTACAAACATCTTAAGATGGAATGTTACAAAAAAAAAGAAAAACCCACAACTGAATACATAAAAATATTAAAAGCCACCATTAAAAATATTTTTAAAACATTTAAAAAACCTATGCCCCCCCCCCCGGATTAACTTAAATACGCCCTCCCAAAACAGGCGA